GCTAGGGAAGAAAACAGAGTTAAGGCCAGGTGTTCTTAAGCCCTGTCTCTGCCTCTAGCTTTCTAGTATTCCAGAAACCCGTACGCCCCTCCCCCACTGCCAGTCTTTCTGATTTAGTTCTCTCCTCTGAGTAGTTCAGATGCTAGGTTTGGTAAGTCTGTGTCCCCGTCAGAGTGGGCTTTGTAGGACCTCTCTTCTCAGGTTGCTCTGAGCACTGAGGGACCGAGGAGCCATTCGAGCCTGCGCCCACACGGCACCCCCCTGTTCCCGCCACCCACCCCCTCCAGCTCAGCCACCTGGGGGAAGGCAGCTCCATTACTGCTCTTTTTCTCTTGTTTCATCCCTGCTGTGATAGAATCTGCCCCGAGCTCGGGGCCCATTCTAATGAAGGTAACTGAATGCCGGGGCAGCTGAAACTGGCCCTTTGCAAAACAGCCAAGGGAGGGCCTGCCCTTGAGGGCCTGCGTGCCAGCTCTTGTTTGCCCTGGCTTGGTGTTAGAGACAAGACGGGGCCATGCAGCCCAGAAGGAGGGGCCCAGGAAGGGGAGAAGGGGAGGAGTACCAAGAGCAGGTTTATTTGGGGTAAGCTGGGCTGGTCCATTGCAGCTGGCACTTGGTGCTCTCAGGAACTGGAAAGGCAAATAATACATTTGGGTCACGAAGGGATGGGTGGGGGAGGACACGGTCAGATTTAGCAGGATTCTGATGCCAAGTGGCTGGAGCTTGGGGATCTGGGCTCTGGACTTGGGACCTTTCTGATCAGAGCCTCTCTTTCCCTCCTTCCCTTCTCCCCTCCTCTGCTCGGAATCCCACACAGCTGTGAAGCTGCCCTTGGGCAGATATGTGCCATCACCTCCTCTCCTTTCCCTAGACTTGGGAGGCCTGCAGCAGAGTGGAAAGGGCTTTGGAGACAGGCAGGCCTGCATCCAAATCCTGGCTCTGAATGCCCTTGGGCAGCTTACTCACTCTTTCAGAGCCTCAGCTTTCCTATCTGTGAAATGGGAAGAATAATGCATACTCAGGTAATCCAGGTNAGAGCCTCAGCTTTCCTATCTGTGAAATGGGAAGAATAATGCATACTCAGGTAATCCAGGTCGAATGGGGCTTCAAGTTCTTACAGTGTGCATAGCCCCTTTTAAGGTAAAGAACCCCAACATATATCTTAACTTTTGCAAATTTTACAAAACACATGACCATGAGAACACACTGGCAGGGTCCGTCCCAAGTGCGTGAGAGTCCTAGAAAGTTAACTTTCGTTCGTTTCCTGATAAATCCAGATGTGTACACACCTACCTGGTAGGGCTGTGAAGGAGGAAATGAGCTAATACTTGCAGAGCTCCTAGAACAGAGCCTGGCACAGAGTAAGCCCCTCGTCAGTGTCAGCTTTCATTTTTATAGCCCTCGGGGCTGTCGTGCGCATTCCACATGTGCAGTGTTGCCCGTGTAGCACCAAACAGTGCTGGCAGACGCTGTGCTCTTGACACGTTCATTCATTAGCTCTCCCGGTGTTTAGTGCTCACGACAGGTCAGGGGCCATTCTGAGCACTGGGGTACAAATGACCCCTCCTAAAGCTTGCAGTGTGGGATGGGTACTGGACCATCAGTTAATGACACAAATAGGCAGTTCCAAATGGGATGACAACAAGTGCTATGGGAAGGCTGGGCAATGTCTAGGGGAAAGAAAAATGAGGAAATAATTTCGATTTGGGGTATAAGGAAAGGCCTCTCTGAGACATTACAAAAAAGTAGGAAAGAATTCTTACTATTCTAATTTCTGCTTTGCTTGCAGTTTCCGCATGTCTATCCACAAGGCAATCTGGCATTAATAGCATAATAATAACTTGGGGACGTTAATAGCAACAAAAATGTTTCAAGGTCCAACTAAAAGCTAAGCAAATATTTGATCCTCTTGACAACTCTGAGATGAGAAAATGGAGATTCAGGCAGAAGAAGGGGTTTTATCTGAGCTGTCATAAATACTAAATGGTGGAGGTGGGATTGAAATCTCCACCCGATTACCTTAA